TCCACCACCCTAACCACGTAATGCTTAAGTGGTAAAGGGGAGACTGAATTGAGCAATTTCAGCAAACTCAGAGTGGTTACATTTTTTTATCAGCTTTAGATGACCCCTGGGTACGGTGCGGCACAAGATCGAAATGCTGGGGGGTCATTTACCCTGCGCTCGACCTTGTAGATCTCTCTCCAGTAACCCTAAAAGTTGGGGAAATGCCACAGGATGTGGAGCAGGTTGCTCTCTCCCCCCTCACACTATCAGAAATTCCCAGTTTAATAAATCTTTAGCAGAATGCAGTCCTTGCAGCAACACTATGAAATGCAAAGTAGAGTATATTACAGTAATTCAGTGACACAAGGAGTGAGAGCATAAGACCACATCCAAGTGCAGAAGGGACAAGGATTATTGCAGAAAGCATAGCATTATTAAATGTTTCATAGTCTGCCCCGGTAGAAAGGTTTAATGGGAAACATGCTAAAGCTCTGATAAGTGGAAAACCATGGGAATGCAGTACCTCTGTCTTACTGTCTTCACCAAAGCACAAGATGCTTGGTCATGTACTGCAGTGACCTGACGGTTTCAAAGGGACCCTCCACTGCCCCCCCCCAAAAAAAAATTAAGAATCATTATTTAGTATCAATCTTAATGAAAACATGTTTGCATTTAATTATGCATTATTTTATTTTAAAACAGCTTGCACAAGCTACATATGTCATTTATGATACCTTTGCAAGCCCTCTTCTCCTTCCCCACCCCAGACTTGCTGTGACTGTTCACAGAATGTCCAGTGATGTTCATTAGGAAGTCTTTGCAGGGCAAGTACTTTGGACAATTGCCTGCAGCTTGACGTTAGATCCCCTGAGCTAAATAAACAGGAAGTAACATGACTAGTTGTCTGAATGACAGCCAGATGGGTGTAACAAGGTTATTTATAAAAGTGTAAATTTCTATTGGACTCTCCACAGTTAGAACAGAGGGAAACATAAAGCACTTCTGAAAAAAAATAAGTGCTTCAAATGTTTAGAATATACATTTAATGTTTCTATGCCAAATATTCGTACCACAAAAGCAGGGCAACCAGTCAAAAATTACCTACTACGTTCTCAGTGAATACTTTTCTAACAACCTACTTCATACCCCTACTTTTACCCACTATACCCCACTCCCTCTAGAATGTAAGATCATTGAGCAGGGCCCTCCAACCCCTCTGTTCCTGTTCGTCCAGTTGTCTGGTAACAATTACATGTCTGTTAGTCCACCCATTGTACAGCGCTACGGAATCTGATGGCACTATATAAATAATAAAATAATAATAATAATATGGTAAGCTTTCTAAAACACATTGGAATAAAAACTGACCCAGAAATGTTAAAATGAAAATTAAGGAACTCTTTAGTCCTTTTCTAAATCATTAAATAGTGCAATTCATTTCAAAGCATGCTTTACTTATTTACTGTGGAAAATATGTATACATTTACAGCCTAAAAACTCATCATAATTGTAATTAAAAACACTTAAATAAATTCACAGAGATATAGGAATTAATAGAATAGTAATTATTTTTATCTCATTGAAATTTATATGTAAAGTAGGTGAAGAATCCTTTGTTAGAATTAGTAGCAGTTTACAGCCTTTATTGGATTTCCCAGGCCAATCGATCAAAAATTGATTCTGCCAATAATGGGGGAAGCCTACATTCTAAATCCATTCACTTAAAATCACTGCCAGCATCAAAATTCCATATGTACATTGAAAAATTATACATGTTGATCCATTTTCAATATTAGAATTCACTCATAATATCATTTCACTATATTTCACTTAGTCGTGCATGATATTCTGAGCATCCTAGTTATCATACTAACTAGAATGTACACAAGAAGTACACATAGGTCTTTAGCAACTAATGTGTAGCAATATCACAAATGAAATATAAAGGGAAAAAATTATTTGCAGTTGAATTAAAGGGACAATATAGTCACCAGACCAACTACAGCTTATTGTATTTGTTCTGGTGAGTAAATAATTTCCGTCAGGCTTTTTGCTGTAAACACTGTGTTTTTTAGAGAAAATGCAGTGTTTACATTACAGCCTAGTGATAACTCCACTGGCCACTACTTAGACGGCTGCTAGAGCTGCTTCCTTGGGCAGTGCTGCAGAATATGCAGCACTGTCATTCAGTATCTCCACCCTCTGCGTGCAGACACTGAACTTTCCTCATAGAGATACATTGATTCAATTAATCTCTATGAGGAGATGCTGATTGGTCAGGGCTGTATTGACTTGTGCTGGTTCTGCCCCTGATCTGCCTCCTTGTCAGTCTCAGCCAATCCTATGGGGAATCACTGTGATTGGTTCAGACCACCACTTCTGATGATGTCAGCAGACAGAGGCAGTTCAGGGGCAGAGTTAGCAGCTTCAGACTTGAATACAAGTAATATTTTACTATATTTAGGGAGGCAACGGGAGTCCAGGGGTGCTAGATGGTGGTTTTTACACTACAGGGTCAGGAATGCATGTTTGTGTTCCTGACCATATGGTGTTCCTTTAAGATGTTCTGCATTAGACACACAATATTTCACAAATACAGGTGATTTTCAAAAAATTTGAATATCATGCAAAAGTTAATTTATTTCAGTAATGCAACATAAAAGGGGAAACTAATATATGAGATACACGCATTACATGCAAAGCAAGATAGCTCAAGCCGTGATTTGTCATAAGTGCGATGATTATGGCTTACAGCTTATGAAAACCCCAAATCCACAAACTCAGTAAATTAGAATATTACATGCAATCAATAAAGCAAGGAGTGTACATAGAACAATATCGGACCTCTGAAAAGTATAAGCATGCATATGGACTCAGTACTTGGTTTGGGTGCCTTTTGCAGCAATTACAGCCTCAATGTGGCGTGGCATGGAAGCTATCAGCCTGTGGCACCGCTGAGGTGTTATGGAAGACCAGGATGCTTCAATAGCGACCTTCAGCTCTTCTGCATTGTTCGGTCTCATGTCTCTCATTTTTCTCTTGGCAATGCCCCATAGATTCTCTATGGGGTTCAGGTCAGGCGAGTTTGCTGGCCAATCAAGCACAGTAATCCCATGGTCATTGAACCAGGCTTTGGTGCTTTTGGCAGTGTGGGTAGGTGCCAAGTCCTGCTGGAAAATGAAGTCAGCATCCCCATAAAGCTAGTCTGCGGAAGGAAACATGAAGTGCTCCAAAATCTCCTGGTAGACGGCTGCGTTGACCCTGGACTTAATGAAGCACAGTGGACCAACACCAGCGGATGACATGGCTCCCCAAATCAGCACAGACTATGGAAACTTCACACTGGACTTCAAGCATCTTGCAGTGTGTGCCTCTCCATTCTTCCTCCAGACTCTTGGTCCTTGGTTTCCAAATGAGATGCAAAAGTTGCTCTCATCAGAAAAGAGGACTTTGGGCCACTGAGCAACAGACCAGGTCTGTTTTTCTTTAGCCCAGATAAGACACTTCTGACATTGTTTGGTGTTCAGGAGTGGCTTGACAAGAGGAATACGACATCTGAAGCCCATATCCAGGATCTGTCTGTGTGTTGTGGCTCTTGATGCACTGACTCCAGCCTCAGTCCACTCCTTGTGAAAGTCCCCAACACTTTTGAATTGCCTTTTCCTGACAGTCCTCTCCAGGCTGCAGTCATCCCTGCTGCTTGTGCACCTTTTTCTTCCACACTTTTCCCTTCCACATAACTTTCTATTAATGTGCTTTGATACAGCACTTTGAGAACATCCAACTTTCTTTGCAATTACCTATTGAGGCTTTCCCTCCTTATGGAGGGTGTCAATTATGGTTTTCTGCACAACTGTCAGGTCAGCAGTCTTCCCCATGATTGTGATTCCTACTGAACCAGACTGAGAGACCATTTAAAGGCTCAGAAACCCTTTGCTGGTGTTAGGGCTTACTTAGCTGATTAGAGTGGGACACTGTGAGCCTAGAATATTGCACCTTTTCACAATATTCTAATTTACTGAGATTGTGGATTTGGGGTTTTCATGAGCTGTAAGCCATAATCATCGCACTTATGTCAAATCACGGCTTGAACTATCTTTCTTTGCATGTAATGCGTGGATCTCATATATTAGTTTCCCCTTTTACATTGCATTACTGAAATAAATGGACTTTTGCATGATATTCTAATTTTTCAAGTATCACCTGGAAATAAAATCATGTCACCAATAAAATATCACCTATACCCATGTTACCTAAATTAAACATATATATGCAGTAACCAATGAACATTCGTATTTATGGAGCCTTAATTTAGATCTCTTGTTGTATAATATAATTTCTGCCCAGAGCAGTACCTTTGTCTGTATTACTGTTTCTTATTTGTCAAATACTGTAGATGCAGCATATTTAATGCCTTTGCTTTTTTGAAAACTTGCAAGTACATATTGGTTGATTCACTTTCATGAAATAGACTTGCCATGGTTAACATAGGTGTATCTCATTCCATCATACACTTGGCTGTCAAATGACACACATTTTTAACCATGAATCTCACAAGCAAATTGCATAGATCTTAGAAAAATACATTGGAAGTCATAGGATGTCTTATGATGCTTTACGTGCACACTTGTCAACTGACCTGTATAGATTAATCTTGCTCAAGTAAAGTATAATAAATTGGATAAAATAAAACAAAGAGGGGGGGCGGGGCCGGGCGGCCATGCTAGCAGGCTGCAAGTCACTATGGCTCCTGAGGAATTTAGCTAAAATCGGGCAAATCCCCTCTCAACTCAGCTTGATACACCCTGGAAATCCGTGGTACAAGATCCTGGAGTGTCCCGGTGCAGCTAGAGCACCTGACATTGGGTGGTTCTGGGTCCCGGTGAGATGCTCTGGGGCTTGGAGACTGAGGCCTACCTGGGGGGGGGGAGTGGAGCAGACGGCCGCTGCTTTGCTTTTCCCCCCGGCTGCAGAGAACCATAACGCGACTGGAGCACTCTCGGCTCCGTTCGACGACTGCCACGCGGCCTCAACAAAATGGCCGAACGTGCTGTAACTGCCCCACAGGCCACTGGAGAAGAGCCGCGCAGACCGCGCCAACTGAGAACACCTTACCTCAGCCTCCTACTACCAAGACCGCAGACCATCACTGGGGTAAGGCACTGAAAAGCTGTCCCCTTGAAAAGCTGTCCCCTTGTAACAGCTAGGTCGCACCGCTACCCGCACCTGGACAAGGTGATCTGGTCAGCACAGGACCTGCACTCACCCCACGACGGGGTCACACGACCGCATCGATCTCCGGACACTGTGCCCTGCAGCGTGTCGTCGGGATCCAGTGGACTTGGAGAGACCTGCGGGGTGTATCCCCATGCCTAAGAAGAGGATGCCTACTAATAAGCTTCCATAAAGTAAGCAAACGGAAGACATAAAAGGCACAAAGCGCAGAACTCACCGCAGGCAGCCTCACCAAGAGACACTCTGGCAGCATTCACCGCTACATGGAGGGACATATATTCTAATAATGTTACAGTCAAACCTGCAATACACAACGGTCTCTAACACCCTGACTCTTGCAGTGGATAACCCAATGTGCCATGATCTGCCTGATGGTACTCTATTGTACTCTATTCTACTTTCTTTTACTGCATTTTACTTTACTTTATCTGAATAATAGCCCTAGCTAAGATACTTGTATATAAACGTCTGTACACTTGCCTGCTTATCATATAATTGCACTAATTACACACCCAGCTACAGACCCCAAGCAATTTATTAGCTAGTTAGGATGAGGTTCTATTCAGCATGCTATTAACCTAAGTCAGACATATTAATTAACTTCTTGTAATCATAACCCATGCTAATGTAACTCGTACTTACTAACATTCTGATCTAAGCAACATTACTTTAACATTTCAAAATGTGCTGATAATCTCAATGCTCCAACTGTTATGCCTGAAAATTATGCTCGGGGAATGCTATTGGGGCACCACGAGCTTGTATGTTATTTACTCAAAGCACGATAAAAATAAAGAATTATAAAAAAAAAACAAAAAAACAAAGACAGATATGTGCACAATTATTTTTATTTGTCTAATAAGCAGTGACATTTTATAATACAATTTTTTAATAGCATTAATAATAAATAAATTAATAAACAAATACATATTAATTGATTAGAAATGAATGTGATCATTACACATAAGAGCAAGATATTGGGAATAGGAATGTGTCAATACTTGCCTGCATATTGGCATTTAAAAAAATTAAGTATAAGAATACACGTTTATAAAACTGTTTGTTATTTTCCTGTGACTCTTCCTTTTTAGCCCACTGTTTAACATTAATAATACATTAGTTATTATTTACAGTTTATTAGTGCATTATTTATTTTGTGATATAATACAGATTGTTGTAACTGATAAATCAAAATACACTCTGAAAAAAAAAAAATCATAGATAATTTCACCTATACTGCTAATATACCATAAAAAAAATCTCAGTGGTGCCACCAGAGTAATATTCTTCCATGTCTAATATTTGAGTTGTGCATGCAGAACAGCCTATAGCTAACCAGTTATTGGCACTGTCCAGGCATCATTAGTCAGCTAAGTATCTGGCATGTCATTTGATAGAAATTGAGCAATTGATCATGAATAATTTTCAGTTTATTGGCCTGATGTTTTTCACACTAAAATGATTATACAACTATGCCACTTTTTAGGCATAGCATTATAGAGCTGTTCTCGGTAGTACTTGCAATTGTTTTCCCATTAAATTTCTGAGAAAGATGCTAATAGAAAATGGCATACAGTAAAATATGTTTTGAAATGAGTTTATATTTACTAAATTTAATTAAGCTCCAGAACAAAATTAATGTACACAAATCAACAAAGATAAATGATACTTTTTTACATCAGTGAGTTGACGCAGATGGAAGTTTTTGATATGGATGGAACAAGATTACACAATATCCATGTTCCCCTGAGTACTGTTAATGTTTTCTTTTGTTACCTAACGAGAGAACTCTTGTATGATGGAAACAGAAAATTTGATGAAGAATGACTAGATTAAAATGTTGTTTATTAAGTTTTCTTTTCCACACTGTTTGAATTACGGAACCTGCTCTTGCTGGTCTGTTAATCCTTTTAAAAGAAGATTCTGACTATCAAAACTGTGATTAATTCTGACTGTATGCTGATCAGCCACAACATTAATACCTATGACAAATGAAGTGAATAAAATTGATTATATTGTTACAATAGAACCTGTCGATTGATGGGAGAGTGGGCAAGCAAAAAAATCTGCGGTGCCATATAGTGGTGGCTAGATGACTCCATCAGAGCATCTCTAAAAGGGCAAGTCTTGTGGGGTATACCAGGTATGTAGTGGTTAGTACCTACCAAAATTGGTGCAAGGAAGAACAACCAGTGAACTGGTGGTGAGCTGCTGTAACTTAAATTGCTAAAAAAACTTAATGTTGGCAATGATACAAATGTGTCAGAACACACAGTACATCACAACTTGTTGTGTATGAGGCTGTGTAGCCACAGACCAGTCAGAGTGCCCTGATAACCCCTTTCCACCACCAGAAGCATGTTTATTGGGACATGAGCCTCAGAACTGGACCATGGATGGCATTTTCTTTTAGATCAGGGGATGGCTGGGTGTGTGCATCATTTACGTGGGGAAGAGATAGCTGAATTATGCGTTATGGGAAGAAGGCAGGACAGCAGATGCAGTTTTAGGCTCTTGGCAATGTTCTGCTGGTAAACCTTGGATCCTGGCATTCATTCAGTTGTTACCATCTATATAGAGATTTTACAAACCACGTACATTCCTTTATTGCAATGGTGTCAATCCATTCGATCCATGGAGACCCAAGTTAACAACTTGAAGGACTTAAAGGATCTGCTTTATCCATATGCAACAGGGTACATTAAGAGGTCTTATGGGTTCCACAACTGGATGCATCAGAGTTGTTTTGGCAGCACGAGGGGGACCTACATGTTTTAGGAAGTTGTTTTGGCTGATCAGCTGATCAAACATTTTTATTCAACATTTTTAACTCATTTATACTCAAACTGCATATATATGAAAAATACCATTCAAAATGGCCATTAAAAACTCAAATTGAAATATATGAAAACATTATTATGAAGGTTGAAAACAAAATCATAACTGTGGTTGCAAAAACAAACCACAGCTTTGTTTTATATTTTTTCATCTTGGTGCCCACTAAAGGATCATCATACTAAAGGACCACTATAGTCACCCAGACAACTTCACCTCAATGAAGTGGTCTGGGTGCCAGGTCCCCCAGGTTTTAACCCTGCAGCTGTAAACGTAGCAGTTTCAAAGAAACTGCTACGTTTACATTGAAGGGTTAATCCAGCCTCTTGTGGCTCTCTTCCTGACAGCCGCTAGAGGCGCTTCTCCGACGCTCAAAAAAATAGCTACGAGTACGCAGAACGTCCATAGGAAAGCACTGAGTAATGCTTTCCCATAAGCATTTTTAATGTGCGCATGCGCATTCAGCTCTACTCGGGAGCTGATGTCGGAGGGGGAGGAGAGGTCACAAGTGCCAAGGGAGCCCGGCGCTGGATAAAGGTAAGTGGCTGAAGGGGTTTCAACCCCTTAAGCCCAGCGGGAGGGGGGCCCTGAGGGTGGGGCGACCTAAGGATTATATAGTTTCAGGAAAATTAGTTATCATTTAAGCAGCCCATGCAGAATGTTACTTATATTGACTATATGTAATGTTTGTTGCATAGGTCAGCTGTCACAAAAGAATACAAAATAATTTCTTTACCACATGTTATGCTGCTAGGCCTGCATGAATGGATGGCAACAGACACAGATAAGATAAAGTCCATTTTTGTAACATGTATTTTTATATACAGTGGATCTGTGTATATTTACGTTTGACTCACAAGTAACATCTCAATATGAAAATTTGCTGAATTTTCATAAGGTGTGCAAAAACATATGGATATGAATTTACACTTTCAAACATAAAGATTAATTTAGATTTTATGAAAATCTTTAAATGAATTGTCTAAATCAAATTATTAAGCAAATGATATTTTTCTCATTTACCTAAATAATTGATGTAAATAACAGTCAGCATAATTCTCATGTTATCAACTATTAAGAGTACAATTCAAATTTTATTGAACAAACCTCCTAATGATAACAGTATTTTTTTAAACATAAAAAATTTACAATGCACTTTTACAAATTATTACACACAGTAAGTTTCAAAACACTTTATAGGTTGTAAAGAACTGAAAATTGTAATTTGTTGTGTTTGCAGCATATTTACTGAAATCAAAAGCTATTTCAATCAAACTTATAACAACATTTTAACTTTTTAAACATTTTAACAGGTCACGTTACATTTTAACATAGGACCCCTTATTTGATAGCAACTTCACAAGTCTTGCATCCATTGAACTTGTGAGTTTTTGGACAGTTTCTGCTTGAATTTGTTTGTAAGATGTCAGAATAGCCTCCCAGAGATGATGTTTGGATGTAAACTGCCTTCCACCCTCATAGATCTTTTGCTTGAGGATGCTACAAAGGTTCTCAATAGGATCGAGGTCAGGGGAGGATGGGGGCCACACCATGACTTTCTCTCCTTTTATCCCATAGCAGCCATTGATGCAGAGGTATTCCTTGCAGCATGAGATGGTGCATTGTCATGCATGAAGATGATTTTATTACAGAAAGCATAGTTCTTCCTTCTGTACCAGGGAAGAAAGTGGTCATTTAGAAACTCCACATACTTTGCAGAGGTAATCTTTACACCTTCGGGGACCCTAAAGGGGCCGACCAGCTCTCTTCCCATAATTCCGTCCCAAAACATGACTTCACAACCGCTTTGCTGACTTCGCAGCCTTGTTGGAACAGGGTGGCCGTCCACCAACCATCCACTACTCCATCCATCTGGACCATCCAGGGTTGCACGGCACATTTATCAGTGAACAGGACTGTTTGAAAATTAGTCTTCATGTATTTTTCTGCCCAATGAAGCCATTTCTGCTTGTGAGCATTGGTTAGTGGTGGCCGAATAAAAGGTTTACGCACAGTTGCAAGACTCTGAAGAACTCTACACCTTGATATTCGTGGGACTCCAGAGGCACCAGCAGCTTCAAATATCTGTTTGCTGCTATGTAATGGTATTTTAGCAGATGCTCTCTTGATCCGATGCATGGATCTGGCAGAAATCTTCCTCAATGTGCCTTTATCTGCACGAACCTATCTGTGCTCTGAATCAGCCACAAATCTCTTAATAGTGCGATGATCACGCTTAAATTTTCGTGAAATATCTAATGTTTTCATACCTCGTCCAAGACATTGAACTATGTCACTCTTTTCGGCAGCAGAGAGATCCTCTTTCATCCCCATATTGCTTGAAAATGGTGTTCTGCTTAATAATGTGGAACACCCTCCTTTAGAAGATTTTCCTTAAATTGGGCTCACCTGGCAATCTAATTATCACAGGTGTCCAAGATTGTTTTCAGTGATCAAAAGAGTCCTGAGACACAATGCCATCCATGAGTTAAACTGAAAAACTAAATATTTAATCTTTGTGACACTTAAATAGAATTTGCATAATAATTTGGAGCAGGGTGTAGGAGACAAACTTCCAAAGTTGAACATTTCTCTATGCTAGTGTGAAAAAAAAATATATGTGTATTTTTAGCTGGAAGTTACACCAGAATCAAATTATAATTCAAAAGGGTACAAAGTATGTACAATAATTTGTCTGGGTTTACACTATTACATCAGAGATTCCCTTTCCTATGCATTATTTAGTATTGCCTCTGTAGGGCAATAAATATCATATAATTAACAGTGAATTAAATATCAGTTGCTAAGGTTGTTATATGTTTATACTAAACACATAAATTCAACAAATCTATCTTCTAGCATTAAACTAGAGATTGGTCAATCAAGCATTCTGATTTTGTATCCCAATA